ATGTCCTACACCACCCTCACATACTTCTCTGCCGCTCCTAACGTTCATGCAATACCACAATATCTGTTTCTGCTTTCTCTAGAGCCACAAAGTCACATTGTAGCTCCTTCTGTGCTCCTCTATACCTTCACATCAGTTAGTCTGGCTTCAACAAATCTCTCCCATAGTTTCATGTTATGACTGATCAGACAAACCAAGTTAAAAAAAAAAAAAAAAAAAGGATTTGGGTGGCAATGCCAAAAAAAAAAGAAGCAATGAATGCAAAGTCCAAAGCCATCAAATGGCAGGGCTGCAGGTGAATTTGTGATCAGGCTCAGGTGGGAATGAAACACAGGTGAGACAAATGATGGTGAAGCAGGGTAAGACAAAGAAATGCAAACAATAATAATAATGCATTAAAAAAAACAAATAAAACAGAAACATGAGCACATACACATACTTAATTTTCAGCTAGATTCACAGATTTTCTCAGTAGCCACACAAGCATATTCTAATTTTCTTTCTTTGAATGATCTGATAAATTTTGTGGGTTTTCAGCACCACTGTGAAGAAAATTATCCTCATCTTAAACTGCTTTTTGAGGGTTTTGAAGTCTAAAGAAACAAAAACATGTCCAATCTCAGTGACCCAATACTCGGATGATCTTAAATTTTTCCTATTATAACAAAGAGATCGCAGTCTTTTTATCTTCCTTATGTGTGGTAATGGTCCAACCACATGGAGGGTACTGAGGGGACAAAGCTCACAGAACAAGCGCTGCCTTGTTGGACACTCACACTCTTACCTCGCTGGCGTCCAGTAGACCAGAGGGACCGGCAAGATCATATAACACTGTCCTGCTTTTCTCATGGATTTTTGTGGTCTGAGCCAAAACCTCTTCTGTCCACTAGGATTTATTTATTTATGTATTTTTAAAAGAGTTCAAACCAAAAAAATTCTTATGCCTCTTTCCGCATGCTGGATAAGTGACTTTTCATTTATTCTATGATAAGACGTTTAAGAGTTAGAGGAGTACAGACACTTTGTAGATTACCGTTATTATTGTGAGAGAAATTATAGCTGAAAAAATGGAAATGGAACTGATTCATAGAGTGAATTATATGAATTATGGAATTGGGCTACGGGGGTGTGGGAAACAAGATTTTGAACGTTTCTGTTTGTGGTTGTCTGCAAAAGGTGTGTCAGGTTAAAACTTGCACATCCATTCAGTGAGAGGTAAAAAATTAGCCAGACAGACTTTCATCTCCCTTCCACAGACACAAGTTAAAGTACATTTACTCTGAGACTGTACTTTAACAGTTTTAATTTATTATTCTCCTCAACAACATCTATCTAAAAGCTACTGGTTGCTTATCTAAAGCTAACTATGCTGGGATTTATGGGAAGTACGCATGTATCCATAGACAGATGACTGAACAGGCCAGAGGGCTCAAAGAGTCAAATTCCCACTATTCATCTGCAAAACATTAAGCAAAAACAACAAACATAAGACTGGAAACAAATGCAGGAGGCTCACAGAGAGAACCAAACCCAATGCAAATTGTAAATCTGAAGGAACATTTCTACCAAAGCAGAGCAGTTCTGCTCAGCTGTTCTGTGTTTTCACATTAAAAAAGAGGCTTGAAGCCCTGATTCTCTTTGGGAACCTCAAAATAGTAAGACCTTGTGTCTGCAGAGGCATCAGTAGATGTGCTTTATTAAAAAAAAAAGGGGAGGGAAAAGAAATTGTAATATCCATAAACGCCTCATGTAGCTCCACTTAGGAAAATATTAAGATATGAAAGAATTCAAATTATTTTTAAATATAAATAGAATGAGACAAAGTTAGAGAGGTACAGACAGAAGTGTGACAGAAGAGGATGATCCACTAGTCTGCCTGAAACTGCCATCTTACTTTGTTTTCTGGTGGCAAAAAAAGTAAAAGAGTTTCAAATCAACCACAAAGAGCTCCAAATCAAGCATAATGAGACAGAAACCAACTACAAAAAGACATAAAAATGAAGGCTTCTTTGCAAGAGGCCTTTCATATGACTAGAGCCAGGGGCAACTTGTTTCTTAACTGCTATAATACGATGGTTGACATGGTAATAAAGGCTTAATTAAACCTTGCATATTACCTATTAGTAATATTATAACACATAACACTTTAGTGCATATTTGTCTGGATTTAAGAAGCTAGAAACTTCTTTCACCTAAGACCTATAGCTGAAAGCCTCACTGTGAGCTTCTCTCTAATGAGCTCTAAATAAACCAGCAATTTTCATCTGCACTGATGATTCACACCCACCACAATGGCAACACAGCAGACTGAACTCCTTGGCATACACTTCCCCCCTTTGTTTCTCCAATGTAGAGAAGTCAGTGTTTCACCAAAGTCTACAGGATTCTCTTAACAGGGATCATCAAAGTCTGGAGAACTAATAAACCCAGCCAGCCTGAAAAGAAGAATGAAAGAGCCTCTGTAGAAATGTCACAGTACAACATAGTGTTATCATACAGAATCCAGCTCTCCTGCTGCAGACATGGCACTTCAGAAGAACACTGCTGGTAAAGTTAAAGCAAGGACAATAGCAAACTATATGGACCAAAGCGAGTTAAATGAACAAGAACAGAAACTACTAAACTGCCATCTGTCTTTGCTTTAGGATGCAGAACAGTACCCCGTTCAGCTTAAAGGGAATCTGCGTATGTGCCCGATAAATCAAACCCAGTATGGCAGCTTCAGTTGAGTGTGCATTCAGCTTTTATCAAGCATCTGCTCTGTGTTCTTCATGTGCAGGATGACCCCGCTGCACTGAAGCGCCCGAGGGGGCGTGTAGCAGGCTGGTACAGTACATCAGGGGAATCCCATCAAACACCTTTCCTCTTTCATTCTCCTTCCAAGAAACATACTACTGCTAAACAGAGCGTGTGCACAAGGGTACTCAAGCTGAAATCACAGCTCTGATGAGAGATACAATACAGGAGTTGTCACTCAAGATAGGAAATGGGAAGCCTCAGGAGAATAAATTAGAGAAAATGTCAGCTGCAGCTTTTACATTCAGAATACCACACTTTTACATTCCTGTCACAATGTCCTGAGGTGCACATTTGTCTGACATAATGCTTACTAGTAGCTCCTGAGGTCAATGTTGGCTTTGAAAATAACTCAAAATGTGTGTGAGAGTGTCACCTGCTGGCAGACTTTGGCGCTTAATATAAAATATGTTCATTTAAAGTTTTTATATTTAGATTTTAAGATGGTTTAACTGGAGTTCACGTTCACTCATTTATTACATTTATTTGGCAGTTACCTGTTACCTTTTCATCCAGGTTTAAGCTGTGATCACTTTTTCATGTATACAAGAATATAGTATATATTGGTGGGGTTAGGTGAATTAGTGATTCTAAATTGGCCTTAGGTGAGACGGTGAGTGTGACGGTTGTCTGTCTCTCTGTGTTATCCCTGCATCAGATTGGTGACGTGTCCACAGTGTACGCGCCCTTCATGCTATGGTAGCTGGGATCGTCTCCAGACCACACATGGACCCCTGATAAGGATAAGGAGAAGAGGGTGGATGGATGGAGCACATGTGGCAGACCTTTGGTTTTCATGTCTCTTAATCAACTTGTCTTGTGATCCTTTATGTGGAGAAGCTGCTGCACAACACTAAGAAGAAGATAAAACTCTCTCCAGAGTGAGTACAGTAATCAAATTCAGCTACACACTGATGCATTTCCTTAAACAATGATACATCATCTACATTTATAGCACCTTTTAAACTTTTCCTCATTCAGCCTTTTACACCATGTACTGTATTTAAGTGGATGTAGCCAATTTAGTCAGTTTAGAAGAAAACCACCCAACATCCAGGCACAGTTACTGAACTTCCTTTAATTTTAATGGTCGCCAGAACAAAACAGAATGCATGCAAAACTGCATAAAGTTAAAACAAACAACAACTTAAAAAGCTTAAAGATTTTTACCTACCCCTTGAGTTTTTCTAAAGATTTTAATTCAGGATTATTTGAGTACTGTCTCTGTCTGACTGTATCACTGCTCCCAATCATTATTCTGACTACACACCAGAAGCTGCCATGCTAAGCACTATTCAGCCAGTCACATGGTGGAAACTCATTTAGTTCATTTAGGAGTGTAGATATGGTCGAGATGACCTGTTCAAACCAAGCATTAAAGTGGGAAAGAAAGTTGTTTTAGGTGACTATGGGAATGGGTGTGTGAGACAAGCTGAGCATTTCAGAAACTGCTGATATCCTGAGATTTTTCCACACAACCATCTCAACAGTTTACAGACAATGATCTGAGAAAGAGAAAATATCCGCAGAGTGGCAGCTGTCTTTTTGTTGTTGTTGCTAGAGTGCAGAGAATAGTCAAATTCCTTTAAGCTGATAGAAAAGTAAGGCTCCATCCTGCTGCTGGTGGTGTAATGGTGTAGGAGATATCTTCTTGACATACTTTGAGCCCCTTATCACAAACTGAGCATCACTGTTAAACACTGAAGGCCCCCTCAAGCTCGTTGCTTACCATCTACATCCTGATAGTAAGACTTCCTGATGGCTGCTTTCAGCAGGATATCACACCATGTCTCAAAGCTCAAATCATTTCAAACTGGTTTCATGCCTGTGACAGTTAATCTAGTAGAGACCTTTGGGATGTGGTGGAACAGGAGATTTCAATCATGGCTGTCAAATCTGCAGAAACTTTGTGACACCATGAAGTCAACATCGATCAAAATCTCTGAGGAATGTTTCCAGCACCTCCGTAAATCATCTGAAGTTCTGATGCAAAATTGGTCCATCTGGTAATAACATAGTAATAAAGTGTCCAGTGAGTCTTAATCACCCAAGTAACTCTTTACAAAATTTTTTATTTCTTCAAATATTGTCAAATCTACCACTTGACAATTTTCTCACTTCACCTGCTTAATATCCTTTTTGCATCTGTCAAACTGTATATTTTACAGAATAATATCACGCAAAAGCAAAACAACAGCTAAAAGTTAATGTTTTTTAGAGTTAACCCTTTATTTAAAGAAACAATCAAGCATCACAGGTGACTCACTGTAAAGTGAGAATGCTACAAGTCATATGTACAACCAGTTTCATCCATCACCTAAATGATCAATTGGCTTTTTCAGGAATAAAAATCAGCATAGAAAAAAAAAAATCTAAATAAATGCAAGTCATTACAAGCCCCTTCAGAACGAAAACGTGTAACAAAACACTGGTCGTGTACTGGGTCTGTAGTTCGGTTAAAAGGAGGAAAAGTATACAGGAGTTAATGTTCTTTGAGTGCCATCGTTCATAAAGTGTTAATGAGACGTCAGCGCACGATGTGTGTCACTCATGCATATAAAAGAAGCTCAGGTGTTTGACATTTTTACAAGTGATGTTGGTGAGGGGGAAAAAAAAAGAAAACACGTCAGTTTTATTACTGCTCCTCAAAGCGGAGCAGCATTAGTACAGATATGCCACACATCGCTCTGGATAGAGGAATTTACCAAGTCTTCATATTGTTCATCTTCTTAATCGCACCTACACGGCGTTGCAGACCTGGCCTCGCAAAGGGTTTTGTTTGTTTTTTAATCAAATATCTTTTCATAGTTAAAGAATCACAGGTAAAAATATTAGAAACAGATAATAAATCAGACATAACATTAATAGCTTTAGGATAACTTATGGGGAAACTAAATAATCTACTGAAAAACATTCTCCACGTCTTTAATTTAAACTCAATATCACATCTGTGCAAGATGGCCTAGTACTTTGCTGAACAACAGAAACACAGCCTGGTCAAAGTGAAAGAGTGATGTGATCGTCGCTCTTTCTATAGCATAGATGCTATTCGAAGGGTTCCTGCCCCACATGTACCTGTGTCAAGAGGATGTCTGTAATACGGCCTGGGCTGTGTTAACTGTTCAAACTAGTATTCTAAATAGGGTCACAAATACAAGTGTAGCCACATTTGCATTTGATATACTTAAAATATTTACCACAAAGCTTGTGGCTGAGTTTAAATTAACTTCACATGAATAAAAGAGAAAACGAGCATCACTGTTTGCCGCACTCAAACCCAAGTCTAAACCATAGCTGTAACACGACGGCTAATACAAACGTAAAGATTCCTACAGTTGCTTCAATTTAAAAGCCTCCATTTGGTAAGAAGGAGGCTTTTATAGTGAAACAGCCACAGAAAAGTCAATGTGGGAAAATATCAAATCACTCCTTTTTTTTTTTTTTTTTAAATCTGCAACAAGCAAACTGAAAAACTAACATTTTAGACGTCCTTCGCCACGTTCTCGCCATCAGACACAGAAAGTGGAAAGGTGTGTGAACATTAGGGTTCAAGTTGCAGATGAAATCAAATTAAATGAAGTTACCTGTCCACATAGATAACCTACAACCCTGTTATAATAATTCAGAGATTAAAAATATAACACATTTATTTAAAAAACAATGCATAGCATAAACATCGTTGCAAAAATCCAGCCGCACTGCACGCCATACCTAAACCTCAGCCAGACCGTTTGTTTCAGAAACAGGTGTCTGGAGCGCTGCTTTTCTTTTTCCAGGTGGAGTCTGCTGCTTAGGCTTAGAGAGAGAGCAGAGGCGAAAGTCTAAAGCTCTCCTTTAAAAAAATGGGGGAGGGAGAAAAAGAAAAGAAGTGAGGCATTTTTAGGATCTTGGGGGTGAGGAACAGGACCAACGGGAAGATTTTGGACTCTGCTCTAAAAGAAACAAACAAACAAAAAAAAAACACTGCTGCTCAGGAACTTGGCTCCTTCAACTCTGCTGTCTCAACGGTACTCGTGTCAAGAGGAGGCTCTCTCTCTCTCTAAGTGTCCTCTTCCTCTTCCTCGCCCCGGTTGCCCACCACCCGCTTCCTCAGGGCGTCGTCAGGGAAAGCCTGCCCCCTGGGTTCAGGGCGGCCCTCGGGAGATCCTCTCCGTTTTCTCCAGACCTCGTCGTGGTCCTCTTCTTCCTCCTCCTCGTCATCTTCCTCGCCATCAGCCTCAATGGCATCCTCTTGTTGCTGGATTAATCTCGCCTGATCCATAGTCTGTTTCTCTGCACAGCAGCATTTGGAGCAACAGTCAGTATCTTACTGTATATAACATAAATGTGAATTAGTATTTAGTCTAATCTATTACAAAACTCACTTGGGTAGTAATCGTGAGAAGAGAATCTTCTTGAGGGGAAAACGAAATCTGCAATGAACACCAGTAACTGCAACAGACAAGACAGGATTAACCGTTAAACCACTGGGAATGTGTGGATTTGTGATGAACGATGTAAGAGCTTCAAAACAGAATCATTTCGGTTTCATAATGACAAAGCGCGGCAAAATTACTCACCAGACCCAACGCCAGGCCAGAAAACAGAGTGGCCAAGCCAAAGATAACATATGATCCCCAAACGGGAATCCCCAGCTTCTCCGTCATGTAGTTATGACAACGCTGGAAATCACAAGAGACGAGATATTTCAACCCACATCAACAAAGCATCCCAATTCAATTATTCTTTAGATCTTTTTTAACCCGTGCTTTTGTTTATATGTAGCTAAAATTCATATCATCAATAGAAGGGTCCAGTGAACATCTGGCGCCACCTTCAGGCCACACGCTGAACTGATTATACAGGTACAGCAGGGTAGAGCGCCAAAGATTTGAAAGTTGAATCTATAGTTTTTATAGCTTATATATACAATTTAGTTCTTGTTTTAACAGCTACAGTTCTGTGCAAAAGTCTTAAACCTCCCCTAATTTCTTTATACCGTATTTGGAAAATGGGAAAAGGGTGCAGAGATTTATTGAACATAGATGGAAATACAGAATAAGAGACAAAAAGTGAGCTTCTTATAAGCTTAAGAGTTAATTTTTGGTATGACCACAGCCTTAATGCTTTTAGGGAAGCCTTTTCTATGATTTCTTTAAGCAGTCTTCAGGAATAGAAGCTCTTCTTTGACTGCTTTTTGTTCAATATGCAGCCAAATGCAGTCAATGCCAAAAGAAAAACTTTGTAAGACCTTCAGACAGTCTGGAGGACGATTGCTCAAGACTGTTAAAAAATATTCACAAGAAAGCGGGACTCCTTGGAAACAAATGTAAAGAAATGAGGGGCAGCTGAAGACTATTGCACAGTTGTATCACAGCTGAACTGAATTAGATTCGGGAATATTCATCAGCAGCTTAACAGTAAGATATCACGACACTTAAACTGTCATTTAAAACAAAGCTGCCAACGGAGATACTCAAAATATATTTGAAACATCAAGTATGTGGTAGAGTTTACTTGTGTCCTGGTGCGTTTATCAATGTGTAAAGACATTCTTAAGCCATCTGTCATAACCCCATGCAACTGATGTATGTCTTAACTCTGCATCCTAATTCAATTAAGCTGGGCAAGGCTTCCCTCAAAATTTCCTGTTTCCACCTATCTGAGTAATGTTTGATTACTCAATTCTCTGTAAGGTCCACTTACATTTGTTTTTCATCCAGTGTGCCAGCTCCGTAAAACTGGATTAGAAGTTTACAATTTGCACATGAAAGCAAGTCTAATTTCAACATGTAATTTCACTTTAGGCGTGACATGCACACAAAATAAATGCTTAATATGCATAATAACCTACAGCACTGAGAGAGAAATCCTCACTTACCCGGATAAACATGGAGAGCTTGAACAAAGCAGACATCGAATTCATTCTGTCAACAGAGGAGGGGAGGACAGCGTGTAATATAACACTGTTTCAATCTCTCACGTCACTACAAAGCCAAGACAAAAATAACAGGAGCGGCACAGGATGGTGTGCATTTGTGTCTCACTTAAAAGCATCATGAAGAAAAGAGTAAACACTTCAAGTGATTTTCTGCTTTTTCAAAGGACAACAGTGACTCATTATTATTAAACTACCGTAAATGTCGGGCTATAAGCCGCTACTTTTTGCACAAGCTTTGAACCCTGCGGCTTTTAGTCAGGTGCGGCTTTTCTATGGATTGTCCGTGATTTTTGTCATATCGTAAGACGATTTGTTTTGTGTGTTCCGCTGTTGTACGGCACTACGTTGCCTGGCGGAAGGATCGGGGTTCAAGAGTGGTATGTTAGTCACATGTCCGTCCGCCAGGCAACGTAGTGCCGTACGAAGTAGCGCGAAAAACAAACTTCAAAGTAGCGCTACGCGTTCAGCGGGAGGCGTGGATGATGAGCGGCGATAAACTTGCAAGTTATGCCCAAAAAGCAAGTTATGCTCAACTCCACCGGTGGATTCTGACAGCGTGGAAAAGTGTGAAAACATCCACGATCACCAACGGATTTTGAAGGGCTGGACTGCTGCATGATGGAGAGGAGGACACCGCCACGGCCCTTCTGAGGGTGTTCGACTCTGACACTGACAATGAGGATTTCTTTGGTTTTGAAAGTGACAACGAAGGAGAGAAGAAGAGTGGATGACGAAGCCATCCTGAGCCTGTTTGTATCCGACACTGGAGAAGAGGACTTTGGTGGTTTTAGTGCGCAGGAAGAAGAGAAAGATGGTGGTGAATGACTGACTTTTCTTCTTGTTAAAGCCGTGTCACTGCACCTGAGCCTAAAAGGTAGTCCGAATCTATTTTTCTGGTGTGCTGTAGGCTACTGTTATGTACTACATGTGCAAATATGTACCCATAACTTGTTTTTCAAAATATTAATAAAAGTGATGTCTCCAAACAGCCATCTCTTTCCTGACAATTCCCTTTGTGCATATTCTCTTACATATGATAAGTCAACATTGAAACACCTGCGGCTTTTGGTCAGGTGCGGCTAATGTATGTACAAAACAGGATTTTCCCCTGATTTTAGCTTGTGCGGCTAATATTTAGGTGCGCTTTGTAGTCCGGGAAATACGCTAATTGATAAATGGAGAATGAATCATTTCCCATCACAAATTCTACCTTGAACATGAAGCAGGGCTCTAGAGTGCGACCAAATTTTTCAGTGGTGCGACTAAAAAAAAAAAATTTGGTTGCACCTGTGCGACCAACTGTTCGGGTAGCAAAAAAAAAAATCTGCAACCTTCCCTGTGGTCAACTACAGACACACATTTTGCCCCTATCGTGGACTAAACCAATCAGAGATAGTAAGGGGCGGGACCTCTTTGATTGGCTGTGGTCCAGTTGAAAGTGCAGGTGGAAGTGGGAGGTGAATAAAGCGATATTATTCATTAAATCCTGAATCGACTTTTAAATATAACTGTGTTTTGCCAGAAATGCCAGATTCTCAGATTAAAGCTTACAAAACCATTTCAACAACAACCAAACAGCAAATGAGAGCAGGTACACGGATTCCACACAAAGACATAAACACAGAGCCGACGCATCAGAATCAACTTTGTCTTTCTCGGCTTTCTCACCTGACGGCCCGTAGACGGACACGCTGTCGGAGCTTAGCAATCCTGATGCGTCCGGTCCGCGCTGTGTTTACGTCTTTTTGCGCTGATTCTGAGCTGCAGGTTTTGTCTCTCCAACCAAAATTCACCGAGCCAGCAGCAAAAGAAGCAGCAAACTGCGCTTCACATTTGATCAATGTCATCATGAATTTTGCTGTTTTGCTTCCACGACTATTAAAAACACACTTCATGCACAGCTAGCTCTCTCTCTATCTCTCTCTGTACTTCAAGAACAGTTTCCCGTCTCCAATCTCTGTTTTCTGTATTATTATTACCCACCAGTCTACCGTTGTTTACAGCGCTGTTGGCTGCTGTCTTTTTCTTTTCTTTTTCTTTTTTTTCACTTAAATGACTTCGGACAAGAAAGCCTATTTTTTCTGTTGTTCAATACTGAAGAAATTTAAACTTTATATGCAGAACATTGTAGAATATTTTTAAGGTTATCTGCTATAAAAAGCCAGACCAGGAAAATCTCCTTCATGTTTTTCTGTGTTTTATTCTCAGTTACTTTCACACAAAGGCATCTGCTGTGATGTTCACAATTCTGATGAAGTCAGTACTGATAAATGATCAGAATTATAATATTTTTGACTGTCTGAGGCTAAGCTGAATCGAATCGGGACTTTGAAAACCGGAATCGAATGGATTATAGAAATCAGTGATGATACCCAGCCCTAGTGAGCAGCCTAGGCACGACAGAAGTGGATGTAATAATAATAATAATAATGGATTGGATTTATATAGCGTTTTTCTAGGCACCCAAAGCGCTTTACAATACCACTATTCATTCACTCTCACATTCATACACTGGTGGAGGCAAGCTACAGTTGTAGCCACAGCTGCCCTGGGGCAGACTGACAGAAGCGAGGCTGCCATATTGCGCCATCGGCCCCTCTGGCCAACACCAGTAGGCAAGTAGGGTAAAGTGTCTTGCCCAGGGACACAACGACCAGGACAGAGAGCCCAGGGATCGAACCGGCGACCTTCTGGTTACAGATGCGATTCCCAACCCCCTGAGCCACGGTCGCCACAGATGTAGCTGTAATAGGAAAAGAACTATTGCTAACTTTTCTGTTAAGTTAAGGCATGATCCTTCTGAAATTCATAGCCAGTGCTCTGACACGGTGTCATCAATCTTTGAATGCTGAAAAAGCACAGTGTATCCAGAAAAACACATTATATTATTTAAATTATTATAAAATTTGTGTGCGCCTAACTTTTGTGCCGGTACGCCTAACTTTTTGAAGTTAGCCGTACCTGTACACCCATGGCAAAAAGTTAGTCTAGAGCCCTGTGAAGGAAAACTAATTTAACTAATAACCCGGGCTGATACAACTCTAGCATTAATAGCATAGAGAATTACTGAAACTCACAAAAAGGAAGACGGTCCAAACCAAGAGGAAACCGGCTCGACTGCTTTCCATTTCTGGTCATGAACGAAGCTGAGGAAGTCATCTTTAGTGCGAGCTCCCTGGTACTTGCGGAAGACGCCGTCCTTAGAGCTGAAACACACAGATTCACACAGATAGGGACCATCTTATCGCCTGATATACTATCAAAAAATGCGTGCATTTAGCAGCTATAGTGGCTTTGAGCCTGAGAGCTGAAGTTGAGCGACAAGCTGCAGGATAAAGTAGTGAAGTGATAAAGATTTGAATTTTCTCCACTAAACAAATGAAAAATGATTGAATGAAGTATTTTACTGCATCAAGGGAAAGTTAATTTATTTGTGCTTCTACGTTTTCATGTCATGATTTCTGCATTCTCCTGAACCACAGGTCCAATTATACGCCACTGCCAATTTATGAAGAGATAATGTGTCATTTTATATGATGAATTTATTGTTGATTCCAAACAAACAAACAAACAAACAAACAGAAACGCATAGGTGCTGCTCACCTGTTTGCTGCGGATTTTGTAACTGTTAGAGCTGCAACTGCAATTAGTAATGCTATGGATAGCCATCAGGAGCTGAACTGTAACTCCTTTTTTGTGCTCCTAATATAATAAACCTTCAATTTGAACTGGCAGTGCTTCAGAAGGATAAATTTAGATCTGTTGCTAATAGACAGGAATAGACAGGAATTCAAGAGTTCAGCCTGCACAAATTTGCGAATTCACTACAAACAAACATACACACACCCAGTATATAGCTAGTACTGCACATATAAACTGAAGTGGCACAGCCAGAACAACTAAAGCAGAGCCACTGTTATAATCTGTTTTAGTCAGCCAAATAAACAGTGCAGAGACACGGGTCAATCTTTCAATACTCACTGTGAGCTACAGGAAAATAAACACACTACTAGTTCAGGGGCACCAAAGAAGCCTCAGGTTATTCTTTTTTTTTTTTCACTTAAAAATTTGGTCTGTTGCAATCTGAAAACTTTAGCTTCAACTCTGGCAGTTTAGGCTAGGTAATTTTGAAAACTATGTGGCATTTTGACTGTACTGCATTGTTACTGGAAACATGAAGGAAATGTGGAGAAAAAGACAGCAGGTTAGACTTGATCACAGGGTCAGAACTTACTAGTTGTTCCTCATACAAGACTAAATATAAGATTAAGACTGAGAAGGGGCGGCACCTTTCCATCCGAGTCACCAAGACTGTGGAATAGTTTCCTACTGCAGCTACTTTTAGCTGATTCTTTGAACTCTATGGCAAACCAGTTAAAACGTTTTTGTTCCTATCCTATAAATCCTATTTCTGCTACTGTACTTAAGAGTCCCAATGCAAAGTTTTCTGCCGTCCACAGACCAAACCATGATAAAACAACAGCTTGCACAGCTGGGTTAACTCATTTAAAAGAGGAAGTAAATAAAACCACAAAATAACCATGAACTTACTGGTATATAGTAGGAAGTGAAGTGATGATGAATCGCCCGCTCAAACCTTAGAAAGGGGGGAGACAAGTACACCAAGTGACAGACATGTTGAAGTTATCTTCAGCTACAGACCAACATTAGTATTAACACCTTACAAGAGGCTGAAAAAACAATGACTGACTCACTGCAGAGTTGCCATATCATTGCCAAATCTGTAACATCATCCTTTCCAACACAGAGAGGTTTCCTGAACTGACCTGAAAGCTTTGTTTCATGTGTACAAGTCATTGTGTAGTTGGTAAATGGGAGCGGTCATTCAGACCCACCTGGCTGCTCTGTCACATCCACTTTTGCTATGTTGACCCCCATGTCCTCTCCCCAGTCCGCAAACTCCTTCCACGCTGGTTGGAGCTGCTGGCACGCTGGACACCAGGGTGCGTAGCTGATGGAGATCAAGTTTCACAAAGAAAGACGCAAATCAGGAGCACAATTATCACTTTCACCGTGCAGATAACCACTAATCTACGAGTTATTATGAGTCTGTTATTTAGCAAAGTGAACCCCATGCAACTGATGTAAGCTGGTTAGCTAAAAATAGCAGCTGTTAGCAGAGCTGAACAATTTGAATTTGTCCTGACTACATGTCGAAATAAAAGATAACAATTAAATAAAACTAATGACCGTTGCCTTTAGACGGCTGGACTCGTGTTTATGGGAGTTTAAAAATAAATCTAGCTGACTAGTTGTGAGCACCGGACGTTAGCAAGACACTGACAATTCAATCATCCATTCCCCAGTCAGGATCTTCTCCCAGTTAGCATCCGTTACTTCTTTGAGACTGTCCGGTTTGGCCAAAAGTGGCGACGTTGTAAAGCATATTCCCAGCAGTGAAAAGTATATCCATGACGTGTGCTTCGTTTGCAGAAGTAAAGAAAACATGTTTGAGCCTCTGGTGCTCTTGGGTGCTACTGCTGCAGCTAGCTAGCAAACACGCTGTGCCTAACTTCCGCTGTGCGCCTAAACGTCACCGGTCAGCTGACGATTCAAATTATTTTTAATTAATTTTTCTCCAAAATATAGCTGGACAATTTATAACTGAACAATTTATAACTAGAATAGTTAGTAATACCTGTTTTTATGTTTTTATTTATGTATTTTTGTTTTATTTCATGAATCCTCCTGGCTTTACTTGGCAAATACACTGGATTTTTCTTCATTATTCCTATTGTGTTTTAAAAAATTAGAAGCATTAAAGGGGAGCAGAAATGTGCTTATTTACCTTATATTTTTTCTCATCACCCATGATCTTGTTCTACTTCCTCCAGCTGCTCGCTTTTGGGGTTGGCACAACTCCTCACTGGGGTCCATCTCACCAGCATCCTCTTCTGTCACACCATTCCTCTGGATGTCCTCCTACGTCCATGGACTTCTCTGCGGCCATCCTCTTTTATTCCTGCCTGCACCTCTCTTGTCCACTGACTGTTACTTCTCCACCTTCACTACTTTCACTCCTTTCCATCTTTACTGTTACACCTGTCTCCTTCTCTTTCACATTCATGTATTCTGTGTTGTCTCTGCTGACTTTTATTCCTCTCCAGGCTCTCTTACCCTTGCTCCCTACTCTCATTATAGATCACGTCTGTGAACATCATAGTCCAAGGAGACTTCTGCCTAACTTCATCTGTCAGCCTGTCCATTACCACTCCATACAAGAAGGGCCTCAGAGCCGATCCCACCCCCTTCTTGAACCAGTCTGTCACTCCTATTGCACATCTCAATGCTGTCTTGCTGTTCTCATAAATGCACCAGCCCTCACATGCTTTTCCGCCACTCCTGACTTCCTCATGCAGTATCACAGTTCCTCTTTTGGCATAATGAAGCTTCTGACCTTATAATTCTGCATCAACACTCTCAAAGCAAACATTGCATAATCTCTCCTTTAAAATATTCGTGTTTTGTTGTTAAGTAAACGCCAACTACCAGCAGGTGGTGCTACTGTTTTTACAAAATGGGAAAAAAGAAAGAAACTGTAGCTCTTGTAGTAATGTGGGTTTGGACTTACTGGCTACCTCTTTCTCTGCATTTTTAAAAACATTTTTATTAGCTGTAAGCTATAATTTATCAATTATTACTGAAAAATGTATAGATCTCAGTATTACCTAATGATTAAATCCATCCTACTGCCAGACTGGTCGAAAGCACTGCACTAATAAGTACTAATATCTCAGTACTGACTATTGCTAAAGCAATTTGGTACAAATTACATCACAAGAGGCTTTTAAAAAAATGAAAACAAGATATATGACTGTTTCCCCAGACAAAGCTGATTTGACCTGAAGATAAAAGACACCTTCCTGCCTTCAAATTCATAAATGTCTTATTGAAGCCTTTTAGAGAGTTCACATCAAGAGATTAGGCTCTGCATTCAAAACATTCTTGTGTTTGGCTATTTCGTTTAGTGGGTTGTGAGCCAAATACTATTATATGCTTCAAAATGCTCCAGAAAAGACTGCTTGTTCTTTGCAACCACATAAGGCAAATGTTTCCCACCTATAAACAAGTGTATGTGTGTCTGAGCCAGTCCTCTTTCTCTTCATGAGAGGATGTCACTCAGAGTAAACCCCAGAATGAGAGCACTTATTATTGTTGGGAACCTGCAGGCAAATTGCAACAGCTTCTAGTTATCACTGCACCTCACGCTCTAAAAATACCCGCCAGATGACATCCTTTTGTGCCCCTACTATTGTCCCCTTTCTCCAGCCATCGGCGCTGCTCCACTTACAAGGTTTAGGGTTTCTTAGTCTGCAATGGTATTTAGTTTGGTTCACACTCACGTTTAGGTGAATAGTATTTTGAGTCATTTTTTTATTAGACAAACAATCCAGAAAATTGTTGGTTACATTGCAAAGTCAAGCTCTGAGATTTCTTGTGTGTCTCAAGCAACAACAGCACCAGTAATTTTCCTGGATCGTGGATTTATTAAGAACACCGAATGCCAGGCAACCTTGCTGCCAGCCTGTCCCATTGGTCATTTACCAGATTACGAGAAATATACATATTTTCGCCAAACACTGCAATTATATTGCATCAAATAAAATGTTTTTGGAGTTAATGCCTCCACTTAAGGTTAAGCCTGATGGAGCCTTGTTTTTAGCGCTGTTTGTTTTAGTTAAGCAAAATGACTCCAGGTCAGCCATAGCTGCTTTTCCATAGTGCAAAGATGTGCTGTGTTTCCTTATCTGGAGAGTAAAATTCAATTTTATGCATCCATCTGTTGCTCCTGAGCAATTATTTCTGCAAATGGTCTCATCACAATTTTCATAACATGAACAGGACACTTGCAAATATAAACAAAGTAGATTTTTACTCTTTGTATTAAGAATTTATATTGAAACTCAATCCCATCGAGTCTCTCATTAATCCTCTTCTTTAATGTTGTTTTGTTTCCTGTTACCTTCTCTGTCCTTCAGCGTGATTGACAGGGAGGGTACGCGCAAACACTACCTGGTTTGAAAGCTAACAGCTGCAGTAATATATACAGACTACACACTGATAATCATGTTGGTTGAATTTGAATGTTTGTAAAACTTGAAAACTTTCACACTTTCAAAACTTTGTACATGAGGTAAAATGTGAAATGTAAAAAGGCCAGTAAAATGCACTTTGGCACCCGTTCTGCAGCATCGACAAGTGTAGATATTTGTCTTTTTGGCAGCCATAATTTTCTCCTTCTTTCCTTTTACCTACATGCTCCTGCAGCTCTACTTCTGTGTGGATGTAAAGGGCATCGGTGCTTCGTTTTATGTGCAACTGTGCTGTCACGAAGCTCTCAGACTGTCCACGTGATAGCTAATGGATTTCAGTAATTTCAAGAGTGCGAAGTGGCACAGTGTGGGAGTAAGGAGGAAGAATATCCTCTCAAACCAGCTACGCAACACACATGTGGGACAAGTTTCTTTGGGTTTTCTATGTCGTTCTCAAACTCCATATTCAACTTTGCTTGTTCCACTTAAATATTGTAACTCAATGTTTCAGTTATCTCTAAAGACAAGCTGACTGGTGATGTGTCCTCGTATTGTTTAGTTTTTTCAGCACTCTTCTTTACAGTTAAGCATCAAGTTTTTCACCCACAATTGTGGAGGCATTTTCATTGCATTCAGCGAAAATACCTTTGCTTTTTCTAAGTATTTGTAGCTGCTAACACAACACTCATTAATGTTAGGATTGCTTTGTGTGTATTACAGCATAGGAAGGTCTGGTTAATACAACTTTTTTTTGTTTGGTTCAGTCATTCAGCCTGAAAATATATTATTTTTTGCCAGTTTTCTTTGATAAACCCAAAGACATCGAGTTAATCTGATAGATATTTTTTTCTCTCATTCCCACAGTCCTGGGTTGTATAAGCGGAGGAATGAAGGAAGGAATCATGGATGAATGGATGTTTATTTAAAGCTATCTGAGAACTACCTGGTCCTCGTTATTGCCCTCCCACTCCATCCTCTGTATTAGTATATTTGTTCCCGTGACCCCTCTCTAAGGTGTTCTGTCAGCAAAATCGGAGACAAGGTATTTCCCAGCTGATAGATGAATGGCACTAGACATACTTGGAAGTAGTAAAGCCCACTTTGGCAATTACATCTCAATACCAGCTGGTCCAACATCCCCTTCAACATCTGGAGCCACTGGAGCGCTCCTAATCACCTGTGAGAATTTATATTTTGCCCAATGTCCTCTCATAAATCTTACTCACTGTCACAGCGAGCACCTCCTGTGATTCACTCTCCAGGGATTCACTACCAACTCCTCTTGTAGCATGACAGCCGTTTACTGAACTGATAATATTAATAATTTAAGTCGGTAAGGTGAATCAGAAAGATGCTTATTGCATTTTAAATTTTTGCCATCATTAAAGCCAAAACCCCTCCGTTTTTATAAAGTGACACAGTAAAGCCTTCAAATTGTCTTCAAATCGCAGTAAAGTCAAAGCTTACATTTAAAATTTTGTTTTATGGCTTTTAGAAACTTCTGTCAGTGAGTGATCAGCTTAATTCGTGTGCCATCAGTAAGTCATGTGTAAAAAGGGAGCTGAGGTGAGATAAAGTAGATTTTTTTTTATTATTTTCTACCAATTGTTCTTCCTTTTACATTACACTTTTATGAGTTTTCTTCCTCAGTGTAAAATCCAAACTACAGTAATTGCCTTTGTAACTGAAATAGCATCTCCTGCTCCTCTCACAAGAGCTATAAATCACTTTTCATATCACTCTTCATACCCAAACCACACTAAAAACAGCATAATATCTTTTCTCATTTGCAAAACCCTGTAGGCTACACACAGCCTCTGCAGCCTTCAGGTCAGCAGCCTACAAAAGTGCCAAAGTGTCAAGCTACTGAACTTTCCAGCCAGTGATTAATGAGTTCCATTCCTCCTCAGGTGCCATTCGGTTGTCATTTGTTTTCTTCTCTGTGTTCCCTGCAGCTCAATGCTGAATTTAACCTGCGTGCCGCATTTGGATGTGTTGCACATTGCATGATAAATGATTTGTTTTTCTGATGGTTTGCATTAATTACACTCCTCAGATAAGCTCTTCGAAGTGCAATACTAATTAGCACACAGTTCTCTGAAACCAGCTAAAGGTCATTAACTTTGGAAGAACTTGGTGGATTTTACGCTGTTAAAAATTTCTATTGGAACCCAATTCTGAAAAGTAAAAAGCTGTTCCTAAATGTCACGTATGACCACGAATTCAGGAGTTAAAGGACCACGCAAAATAGTGAACGCACCAGCGTGCGACGTGATATGTTGTAAACGAAATTTATGAAGCACTGCCAGCCACCCAGGCAGAGACAAGGATGACTTGATTTTTACCACAGCCTGTCTAATTTTTAAATTTTACTCTCTTTATAGACTTAGTTTCATCTCAGTTTATCTCCTCTCTTTCTAGTGTGTTTTAGATGCCTGTTTCAGTCCAATATGTCTATTTTTCATGATTTTATTAGTAAATCAG